TCAGCCAGGAGTTTTCTCTCTTCTATTCCTTGGGCTAAGACCCACTTGTTCTTTAAAATTCAGGTCAAGGATCCCCTCCTTCTGGATCCTGCTCAGGGCCCTGCCAGCTTGGCCAGGTGCCTCCTCTTGTACCAACAGATCCTGGGCTTTGCCATGTCATGGGCCACTGTCAAGTCTGCTGCTGGTCAGTGTGCCCCAAAACAAGACGGCTCCTCAAACTGAGAGAACCAGGCCACGTTCAACCTCTTGTCACGGTGCCTGCCATTCTCCACAGCTTCCTCACAGTGAGGGGCCCGTGAGCTGAGGAGTCTTCCTGCCCCCTCATTCTCAACATCCCCGGCCCGCTGTGTCTGGGTTCTTGTGTCTAGGCTCAGAGCTTTGCAAATTCTTTCCCCTCCCCTCTATGTCACCTGCCAAAGGTAACCGCTACTGCTCTGCCGTCAGCTGCTGACACCTGATTTGCCCCTTCTGGGATGGGGCAGGGTGGGAACCAGGACAGCTTATTAGAACAGTATGTAAAAATAGGATAAATAGGCTCAGGTGAGGTCCTGAGGGATTTGCTGAGGAAAAGCAAACCTGCCAGCTTGGGTTTTGTGGCAGCTCTTTGAGCCACTGGATTAAGTCAATTTGCCTGAAGCCACAGGCTGATATGGGTGGGGTGGGGAGCTGGGACTGGAACCTGGTATGTTTGGAATCCACAACCAGTGCTCTCAGAAATCCTCTTTCTAGCCCCTCCTGTTTTGGAGTTATTAACATAAAAATAGTGGCTACTTTCTGAAAGCTGGTTAGTACCAGCTCCTTCACATCATCTCTGACCAATTTCTCCTTTCTTCACCCGTCACACAGGGATAAATGGGTCTGCTAGAAGGTTCTCATCAAGTCTCCCCAGGATTGCCAAGGAGCCAGCCTGTCATCACGTTGGAGTTCCGCCACCCGCTCATGTCATCACTCCCTGGCCTTTCGGCTCCCCCTGTCCGAGAGGAGAACCTTCTCCTTGCACTCAAGTGTCCCCAGCTGCATAGGCCTTCCCCCACTGAAACACATGATCTTTCCTGCTGTTGGGAGGGGCTAGGACTAGGGTCTACCACACACAGTGAAGCAGGGCTCCCCAAACACCTCCACCAAGTTCCACCAGCTCCCTGAGTCGTGCTTTTCTCCTCTGACAAATGGTGACACAAAATTTCCAGAACCATGAGGGAAAGGAAATAAGACAATACACCAAAAAGTTGTCACAAGCAAATGGTGATCCCTTCTCAAGGTCTCCTGGGGAGTAATGGCTGACCCCAGAACTTGGGCCTTGGACTCCCAGAGCAGTGCTCTCTCCTACAAAGCACGAATGTCCCAGGTCTCCCTTAGAGGAGTCTTTACACCCATTTCAGGGGCTAGTGTGGTGACATTCCAGGCAGGGGAAGGGGGTGGTGAGGGATAGTCCTGAGGTACGTCCCAAGATCCCTACTGAAGGTAATCGTGGCTAAAGCCCTAGCTATTGGAAGGTCAGCAGCCAGAGGGCTCTTTCTTTCTACACTCAGTCCTACCATGTCTCCTGGGCTTTTAGGGTTGTTTCCTTCAGTCAAGGTGAAATCCCAAACCCTTCCCACCGCCCAGCAAGGCCCTGCCCCATCAACTGTCAAGCCCTAGGCCCTACCCTTGCACTCACCCCGTTCGGATCCTTCAGCATGTCACACACTCCCACCTCAGGGCCTTGGCACTGGCTCTTTTTTCTACCTGGACTTCTAGTCCCCCACTTTTAGAACGATCTCAGCTTTCACATCACCACCTCCAACAGGCGTCCCTCACTGCCTTATCTCACTCCTCCCTCACCCCATAAACACCTTGTGGCTCCCTATTTCCCTGTTTATTTTCCCCATGGCACTTACTATGATCTGAAAAGATCCTGTGAGTTCACTGTCTCCCCCAGGTCTGCTGGAAGACCCCTGAGTCCCCACTGCTTGGCAGACAGTAAGTACTCAATAAATACCTACTGAATAAATACCAAAGAAGTGAAACAGAAGTAAAATAATAGATATTATTACCCTTATCTTGAACATAAGGAAACTGTGGCATAGAGAAGCTAAAGCTTGCCCCAGGCCACATGCTCATTAAGTGACAGATTTAAACCCAGGCCGGCTGATAGCAGAATCCATGCTCTAAACCCCACAGTTCAGGGCTCTCCAGAGGCACAGACTCCCATGGGAACTTTGGCTGCACTGAGTGTCAGAAGAGAAGGGGAGCTGAGGAGCAGAGAGCAGTTTCAGGATGACACATCCTGTCCAGGGGCTGCATTTCTCAGCAGGACTTTGCCAAAGCTGGAAAGAAAAACTGCAAAACAGAGCTCCAAGGGTTAGGTCCCTTACTTCTGGGTTGCCAGAGCCTGCCAAGTTGGAGAGGAGAACCATCCCACATGCCTGGCTATGGCCCAGCAAGCTGTGGACACAGAACTGACCCTGTGACAAGAAGTCACTTGTGCTAAGCACATTCTCTGTGCTTGGCACTTTGCTTCAGGCTTTGCATGCATTGCTGCTCTATGAGGTATAAAACTTTCAGAGGTCATTTTGCGGGTGGGTCAAATGAGGCCCAGAGAGGGCAGTTGCATGCCCAAGCTCACACATCCGGGAAACAGTAGACCTGGAGTCCAGTCTTACTTGCAGATTCTGAGCTCCTCAAGGCTCCCACGCTGCCTAGCTTCCTGAGCCTAGCACCATTCCTCCAGAAAAAACAGCCCAGGAGGTAGATGCTTGTCAATCAGTGTATTTCTTTTTTTCTTTTGGCATCTAGATTTGGTTTCGTTTTGAACTCGGGACTTCAGAAAATGAAAACAAAGCTACAGTAACCGTCAATGTTGGCACTGAAGAGAACCCACGTGGGTTCAGCAACTGGGGCCTGACTCACCATGCTTTCGTAACCAGAATCTGGACAGGTCTGAGGAAGGGCTACTGCTGTTGTGAAGGCCGGGAAACTGAGACTCAGTAGGGCCCAAAGCCACAAAGGGCAAGACAGAGGCTTGGATGCCAAAACCTGGAGCTCCCCAGGCTTATAAATGAGAGGGAAGCTGGCAGACCTGTACCCACTCCTCCCTAAGCAGGCTCAAGATCCAAATGAATCTCTAGTTTCTTTGGTATCTACTGTTTTTCCTGAAGACAGATCAGGATTTGAGATCACCAGGGCAGGGGGAGGGAGTTTACAATATAGTAGACAAGGGCAAAAGCTTTGGGGTCCAATATCCTGTGTACGAATCTTGTTTCTGCCCCTTCTTCTAAGCTGTGTGTCCCTGAGCAAGTGGTTTCTCTATTGTAAAATGGGCAGGTTGGGTTGCTGTAAGCCGATCCAATATTCTAAGGACTATAAAGCATTTATACACAATCAGCTTAGGCCAATACATCACAAGAATCAGTAAATGAAATGAAGGAGGGGGCTCCACAGGGATGGGTGGGAGGATAGCAGCAAGATGGGGAGGGGGGAGCAAGAAAAGGAGGAACCAGTCCCCAAGGAAAAAGGGTGGCTCTCCCAAGTAGCCAAGAGACTATCAATGGGGGTTGGGGACATATGGGCCATTGGCTTATAGATTTCCCTCTGCCCAGAAGCCTGCCAAGGAGACATGTTGGTAGGAAGAAAAGTCATGCAGGAGCCAGACCTGCCTGGCTGCTTTCTCTGGGCCTGGACACCTGGCCCCAGCTCAAGCAAGAAGACAGGAGGTGCTACCCCTCCCCATGGCCAGCACCCAGGGGCCTGGTTTGCCCTGGTGAAACTCTCCTGCTCTGCCTGTGCCTCCTCTAACCTGTGCTCCCTGGCCTAGGGCTTGTAGGATGGGCATAAGGAATGAAGCCATGTGTCTGCGGGCTCCAACACGCTGCCACACCCACAGGTGCCCTTGGGTGAACAACAACAACAGCAAACACCTACTGAATGCTTATTGGATGCCAGGCACTATTCTAAGCACTTGACGGACCCATGATCACTCATTTAATCCCTACAGCCATGAGGGAGGTACTATCATTATCTGTTTCACAGGTGAAGAAACCAAGGCAGAGGGGTTAATAGCATGCTCAAGGGCACAAGGCTAGAAAGTTGAAGAGGTGGGATTGGATCCCAGGTAGTTTGGGTTCATAGTCCGGCTCCTGAATTACCACAGCACCTGCCCACTGGCACATGCATGGCTCTGCATCTTCTGCCACCCCTTGCACATAAGTGCATGCACATGCACGCGCACATGACCCAGGACCACCACATCCATGAGCAACACTAACTGCTGTCACACACAACTCAGGGAGCTGATGGAGTTCTAAGCTACCTCCTGTGTTCAGGAGGAAACACAGGGGGCCTGGGTTCTTCTCCGGGGCAAAAAGGCCTCAGGGAAAGCACGCACCAGGGCTTCAAGGAGAGGAGCTGGCTAGGCTGCCACTTGAGAGCTGCCTGCAGAGGGCAGTGTATGCCAGCGTGAGGCCAGCCACCATGCCCTCAGCCTGTCCTGTCTTCTGTGTAATCCCCTCCAGGCTCTGAGGCTACCCACCCACCAGCCCCAACCCTCATTCCTTCTTCCTTTCCTTCAAAAACACATGCTCCAGTCAGGTACCTACTCCGCACCTTTCTACCAGACAGGATCACTGGATAACATATAAATGAACAAATTATAGCCTACACCACCATCCATCCCAAGCGTGCTCGGTGGAGGTAGATGCTTGACTGAGCAGTGGGAAGTGGGGGAAGAGAAGGACTGCCAGTATAAAACAGTAGGTTTTAAGAATCATCACATGCACTATCTTTTCGTTGGGCTCCAAAGTGCGTTAGGAGGTGCCCAGCCGCTCTCTCCAAAATAAAAGTGAGGAGGGCGGGCCTCCTGCGGAGCTCCCCATGTGACAGTCACTCCAAATCAGAGCCCTCCCAAAGCCTCAGTTTCTCCAGCGTAGGAGGACAAGCCAAGGCCTCGGGGGACCTTGCCGGGCCCCGCCCGGTTTCTGAGGAACTCGACCCGCAGTGGAGGTGCCCCTCCTGCGCCACCAAAGGGTTCCTCCGAAGCCTGTGGTCAGGCCACCACTTCCTGGGAAGCCCAAGCCAAGACTACGGACAGCAGCAGGTCGGGAAGAGTGCGGGGGAGGCTGTCCTGAGCGTCCTGGACTACTGACTACTGGAAAAGGGCATGGCTGGAGTAGTCCGGAGGGGTCCGAGGCTGCGACCTTCAGGCTGGACCCCAGGCCGGGTGGAGGGGTCTGGCTCCAGCGGAGTAGAGGGCAGAGCTCCGCTGAGATGGGTGCTGAGACACCTGGAGAGGAGAGGGGCGTGTCAGGGCTAGTTCGGAGTATACTAAAAGGCTGGGCTGCAGAAATCTTCGGCCGAAGGCAGAGGGGCAAAATAGAGGCACCAGGTCCGAAGAGGGCGTCCGAGAAGTGGCCAGAGGGTTCAGGGACGAGGCCAGAGGCCTTGATGGAGGGTTCCTAGGAGAAGGTGCGAGGCTAAGTCTGGGCCGGGGAGCTCCCAGGGGAGAGTGTATGCAAAAGGTTGAGCCGGCGTGGCCTCCAACCAAAGAAAAAGAAACCGAAAGTGGCGCGGGAGGGGTGGGCCGCAGGGTGGAGTCTCCAAGAGGCGGAGCCGCGG